ATTCCCCTCACACGACCTGGCGCACTCCTACTCTTCTATGCTCTCTCTCAGAGTACTAGCAGCCAGTCCCGATCGATACCGGAGATTGATCATGCAACGCTGCTATGCCTTGTCTCGAAACACAAGCGCTCGATTTATTCCCGTCTGTGGCTGCGTTCGCGTCTATAGCACGTCGAGGCGCATTACGGCGCATCGACGCGCGTCATCGCGAAGTCTGAACGATGCTTGATAAATTGAGTTACGACCGTGCCAGCAGTGTTGGAATCGAGCTAAGAATCAGCTTCGTGTGTGGTCTAATCCGCAAGAGTTTCATTTTCAGAGCAAGAAGGCTGGCGGCTGCCGATCGATAGAGCGTATTATCGATTTATTGGATAGGTTGAATTAACAGTTTTGCATTTGCCAAGTATTTATTCCATACTTTTGAACTCATTTTTGTATGTTTCAATTTGCTGTAAAATTCCCAACGATTGTCTGACGTGAAGATTTTTAACTTCTGGGAAGCTATTACTGTACATAAGCGTCGTTTTATGGCTTTCTCTGACTATTCTTCTCTGGATTTCATTCACTCGTATGGTTGTTATATGTTGTCGGAATATCATCTGGTCCGGTTGACCTTATACGGCTTATTTTGAGCGCGTTCAGACTTCACGATCGCGCAATCTAATCGAGCGATCCGATCGCGCGATCGCGAAGTCTGAATCGGCGTTCTTTGATGGAATGTTTTAGCTGCTCCTTTGAAGACCTTTCAATTATGTAGATTAGTTTTTCTAGCTATGTTGATTACAGTTGAGTTCTCCTGATCTGCACACCCGATCTAGCAAGGTGTTGGGGCCACATCGGTGTTTTCTCTGCTATGAATGAACCAATTCGGATTTGTTCACCAAGCATTTCCAAAGATGATTAAAAGATTTCCCAGTTTCTTGTGCAATTGCTACAAATAAAGTTGGTTACGTATGCTGGAAAAGGAAACTGTGGAACAAAGGCATCGTGCTACTCCAGAGGGCGTGGAGTGAGCGAGCAACTGTAAAGGGGGTTTAACAAGGGAACAGGGGAACAGCATCGTTGTGTGAAACACATGAGGGGGAGGTGTATTTGGTCGTTGTTGGGAGAGGGGGTCGTATGTGCCTATGAGAGAAATTGCCGCGTTGGAAAAAATTTCCCGGTTGTTGACTTTTCGGGTTTTCTCCGTTTCACATTGGCCGTATATACCCACCTCCCCCCCCCCATGTGTGCAAGGGCACATCGTTGTTGGGGAATCCCCAACAGAGGGGGGGGGTCTTTTTGCAAGCTGCAGAAAAATTATGTTGATACTTGCCTTTCTCGCTTCCACGGACGCTGTGCAAAACAAAAGGCGTACTAAAAAAACGGGGTCCCTACTCGCTCATTTGGCGGAGGATGAGGGGGTCGTATTTACTTCTGCACCATTCTAGGAGTGGTTGGTATTTCGGTGCGTTGACGCTTTCGTGATTTTCCTTTTCTGGTCTCACGCTTACTATATACCCCCCTCCCCCCTGCACATGTTGGAGGCCGAAAGGTACCGCATCCCAAATAGCATGTCACTTCCTCCTTCAAGTCACTGAACAGGTGATGTATAGTAGCGAGTACCCTTTTGCCCGGCCCCCGCGGCTCATTTTTATTTGTACGCCGCCTCGCGGCGTAATCCTCAGGGTGCAACATGCAACACTGGTAGTTGACTGCCCAAGGTGCAGATCTCAAGCCTCGATATAAACAACCAGAAGTGAGAGGGCGTCAGACAAGACCAGCGTGTTTGGCTTTATGGTTAGGAGGTAGTGTTGACTGTACAGATAACACCGTTCGAGTAATAGGAGTAGGCACTCGGGATATCACTACCTTACTACCGGTTCCCGTGCAGTTTTTACCGGGCAAGTGACACGCTACTGCAGTGCCATTTTCCCTACACACGGCAAGGACTAAATAGAATCCTGTAGGTTAGCTGTACAGTTCTCGAGTAGCCGAAAACTGCGCTTTTCTATGGTGATTGACTCGTCATACTCTACCACTTGTGCCACAGGTCGTCACTCCTAAGTAGTACTGTGGAAATCGCCCGCCCATTTACGTTCATGCTGCGACAATGAACTCTGCCGGCGCCGCGACAATATTCCAACCGCAGCCAGTTACTGCTGTGAACGGCTCTTTCGTTAACAAAGGCGGTGTTTTTAAGCGAGAAGGGTTTCGTTCACAACTAAAAAGGTTGGAAAAATGAAAGAATTAATCGGCGTGCATGTCGGGAGACGGCAAGCAGAATCGATAACTTGCCCACGACGCCCCAGCATTGGCGTACGTTATTTTTTACTCCGTGTTAATCCTGTCGGCTGGAGCACCCGGACTTCATTGTAGACCCAACCGTCATCGTAGACATTATGATTTTGGTTCTGAATTGCATTGTTCATTCGCCATCTACACGACTCAAAAATCCCTGAGATCGGGTAGCTTGGCTGGTCCCCGCCGTCCCGTACTTGATTTCTACAATGGCCGACTGCCCGGGATTTCGAATATTGTCGATTTTGAAGCCAGTTCGTAATCGGCTCTACATATAAACACAGGACAGCAGCAGTTTGTTTCAAATTGAACGTATCCCACGAGAAACGCCGGTTCCGGTATGCCATTGCCTTCGAAAATTAGTCTACTCCGTCTCAGGGGTAAGTAGCGTACCTAGCATAGTCATTTGCGGGCGCGGCGTCGCACGCGACGCCCACCAGCGCGGTGGATTACGATACTCTTGTCACATACCCGTCAGTGCCACGGATATGAAAATAAAGAAAGCTGGTGGAAAAACTCATTTTTCAAAAATCTGAAGTTCTTTAAGGGCTTCAAGGTGTTGATGGAGATTTCACGAGCTTAATTTGGTAATCCATGTATCGGTTCAAGACGAGCCGGAGAAAACTAAGTTCTCTACGAGTGTCCATTGCGATGCTACATATCCCGTCGAGATCTTGATATGCATAGTACCCGCTGAAGTTCACTCCGATAGATGATACGAAGATAGGCGCTATCACCAGAAGCACAACGGCTACAATGAGGTAGGTCTCACTGAAATATTTTTATTATTACATTCTGTGCTCCCACCAAAGCGCGAACTGTGCCAACTTCCACATCGAGAGCTATCTTTCAGGATCACGTTCTCAAAGGAGAACAAATTTTATTTAATATTTCTATTGACATGCATGGCGATAATAATCGAGACTTACTGCCTGTTAATGCCAACTTGTGGAGCAAAACGGACGATTCTGTGAATTCTCCAATTTCCAGTTTGAAGTGAGAGACACTCAATTATGTTTTTTTTTGTGAGGAATGAAAAATCAGGAATGAGGTTGAAGTCTTATCCGCGCTGTGCGGGTTAAGCGGGCGTCGCAGTCTGTACATTTGCTATGGTTCGTATACCTAGCAAGTCTCACGACAGGGTCTTGTGAGTAAAACTGGTGCAAGTCAGTATATCCACTTCTGATGACATTGTTTTACAGATTTTTTATAGTGTCTGCAAAGTACCTCGTCCCATCGGCAGTTGATTAGGGCGGTCGTCAACGGGCCGCAGCGCGTGCCAGGAACTATTTGCTTTTTCCAGGCTAATTTAGTCATTTTTTCCAACTTTTCACTGTTTTGGCTACTTTTTCCCAGATTAGCAGCTCCTTATCTTCACAAGGTGGAAAAAATGACTAAATTAGCCTGGAAAAGCAAATAGTTCCTGGCACGCGCTGCGGCCCGTTGACGACCGCCCTAATCAACTGCCCGGATGACGAGGTCTTATAACATCTGGTGCCACCACCCGAGCTGAACGGCTCCGCTCTTTTCAGCTTTTTTCTCTAATAAATAAATATTTAGCCACTTTCGGAGGAAAAAATCGCAAAGGCCGCTGAAAGCTATCGTGCCCAGGAGAGAACAATCGAACTTGGCTTTAAAGGGCTCAACAACCTTGAGCAGGTTCAACTGAAGAACTCAGATGTGAGTGCTGATCAAAAAACTTATTGCCACTACACAAAGGGATCTTTTATTGATATCAGCTGAGATACACGGCAATCAAACAAGCAGATGTTAAGATGTTCTTCAAGGTCCTGTAAGGGGTCGGCCCCGCAAAAGATTCATTCCCCCCTGGCTCATCGCTGGCTCGTAGCAGCCTGCTACTTTTAACGACTTGTAGATTCCTCCCAGTGTTGCTTTGTGCCATCTGAGAAATCTGGAGATCCTGGTTTACTGTTTTTGTTCTCTCTTCAGAGTTGACTTTGCCCCTCTGATTGGGTCTGTGAACACTGTCTGAGAAATTGTCGTTCCCATAAGCCTATCTTATCTGTGATGTGGGATGCCCCGTCTACCTATGGTCCGATGGACAAGCGCTGCCATCAGAGCAGAAGAAATTTTTGCAGAATGCGACCACTCCTCCAAAGTTTCCTCCTATGGTACGGCTTTGCTCCCGCCTAATACGGAACTCATACGATCCCATACCTCCTTGCTGGGAATCCCCAACGCACGACGTGATCTGCTTGCCATCCCTCCGGTCCTCGATGAAGGCGAAATTGTGTAACCTTAGTCAAAATATGTTATCAATCCTGCACAGAGTACGAACTAATAAACCTTCTACTATTGTAGTGGCGAGGTTGAACGATGGTCGTACTTAATCTTTTCCGCTTACCTTCTCATTTCAGGCATTACCAAATCGCACATTCGCGGGAGTTGGAGCGGCGGAGATGTGTGAATCTGGACGAGCTCAGTGTGTCAAAGCGTTTGCGAGGATTCGTCCGTTGATCGTGGTACGACAGGATGATTCCCTTCAAATTTGCAAAAAAGATCAGAGGCACGGTCTACCCCAAAACTGTGGGCGGAGACTTGGGCGGTGACAGTGAACCCTTGTGTCCTTTGGGACTACTAGCGACTAACTTTACTGCCTTGCTCTTCGACATTCAAGCCACAATTTGATAATCTAAAATCAGAAAATCGTTGAGGTTAGATAACGTAAATCAGTCAGTCTGTTGTCATACAGCCGTCTGCGGAGTTTCATGGAGCACTATATCGAAACATCGATAAAGGCTGCGTTTATACTTTGCGGCAGCGTAGCGTAGCGCTTCCAGCGTACGCAAGCGGTTTTCGCGTCTCTGACGGCCACATAGTCTCTACAATACACATCGATTGCGCGTCTCTTACGGCCACATAGTCTCTACTCCCCTGCCGCTGCAAACGCCAGCAAAACGCTGGCGAAACGCTGCGTACGCTAGCGTTACGCTGGTGACGCTGGGAACGCTAGATCGATATGCATCCTCTCCCCGGCACTGCCGCTGGCGTACGCTGGAAGCGCTACGCTACGCTGCCGCAAAGTATAAACGCAGCCTAAGAGTAAGTGCTGTTAAAACTGAGCGCGGGTTAGGAGCCCCGCGGCGAAAATGGTGTACAGGGAACAGCATCGTGAAGTGTGAAGTGGGAAGTGGTGGTGTCGATACAACCCCCCACTTAAAGGAGGGTTTCGGTGCGACCCCCCTCCCTCCCCAACACCTACACTCTAGATCCCTGAGATCGGGTAGGCGTGGCCGCATGTTTCAACTTACCCTTAAGGCGTCTACGCTTCTGATGCGATATTTTCATCTCGACACAATCGTTGTCGTGTCTCTGTCCAATACAGAACAAGATGACAGTTGTCCCAGACTGGAATATTCCACTAGTAACCAGTTCCTTACAGTGTTCGAATGCCCCGCCTACCCGATCTCAGTGATTTCGAGTATACCTACCAATAACTCACGTTTTCCAGTTTTTCACCCTAAAATTCTCCGTCGAGCAATAGGAAGGGGGTGGGGTATGTAGTACACATGAAACAGGAAAAATCGCGGAAAAAGTCAACAAACGGGATAAATTTCTCCGAACCGCGGCAGTTTTCTCAAAGCCACAACGACCAAACACGACCCCCCCCCCTCTTTCCCAGCCGAAAAGTAAGACCCCTATGTAGTTCCTACGATGCTGTACCCTGATGGCGTAGCGCTTTCGACAACTGCTATAAGACAACTGTGGTTATGGATCATTAGGTCGCCGTGGTCACTCACAAGAAAAAAATTCTCAAGGACTAGATTCTGTGAACTGGACAAAAATTCTGGAAATATTGGAAGAGGATCAATTTGAAATTATTTCAGACATCGCCCAAGCATCACCTGATGTCATGCATCAATTCAGAAAAACCATGTCCACAGTGATGTCGGCCATATTCTGTTTTCTTGTCCGCGAAAAGGAATTCGTAGATGCCGGTCGTAGTATCCTAAGGGAATATCCTGACATCAGGTGAGCTTCAACGCCTTCTAGCTGAGTTCTGGTTTTATCTATTATAGAAGGACGGTTGAAATATTTATTCAGTGCAAAACAATTCAATCCTAACCTCGTCATCCGGGCAGTTGATTAGGGCGGTCGTCAACGGGCCGCAGCGCGTGCCAGGAACTATTTGCTTTTCCAGGCTAATTTAGTCATTTTTCATCTTTTAAAGATCACAGGAGACTGCTAATCTGGGAAAAAGTAGCCAAACAGTGAAAAGTTGGAAAAAATGACTAAATTAGCCTGGAAAAAGCAAATAGTTCCTGGCACGCGCTGCGGCCCGTTGACGACCGCCCTAATCAACTGCCCGGATGACGAGGGGGTTATATTCCGTAACTCCTTTCAGGCTCTGTGAGGGAAGAACGAATTCAAGAGCGTGAAGGATATGCAGAAAGGACTGTCTATAGATCAGGACGATCTCGACGAGTGGCGCTTCACTATGGTTACTCGAGAACCTGTTGATCGATTTTTATCCGGCTTCATCGACAGATGTATACGGTAGATTTTTAGCTTATAAAGAAAGCCTGATT